GCAGCGGCAGTCACAGTTCTTTTATTTCACCAGAGGTTCGCTTTGCTGTGTTTGACACGCGCAGTTATTGTCTCAAGTATTTTTATAGTATTTTTTATTATGTTGGGTGTTGTCACTCAAGAAACGTTCTTCCGCAGAACTTCCCATCAGCAAACTAGAAAAACTAGTAACTGCATGCAGCATAGTTTCAGTTTGCACTACACCTGATCTTTGTGATGCATCAACAGTAACAACATGTTATTTAACAGAGCTAAATAAAGGCTGACAATTCAGGTTTGATTCACACTTTAATTCAGATTATAAAGATTATACCTAAATTATACAGATTATAATTCAGATCAGATTTATTTAATTTAAAGTAAAGTTCACACGGTGTTGCACTTTGCTATATGCTTTATTGATTATGAGCTTGACACACTCTGTCTGAGCAGCTTTTCAGCTAACATATTGCTCTCTCTCCTCCTCCTCCATCATCCTGACGTGGATGATGATGTCATTTAAGTAGGTGGCAGCATATGCAGCACCCATTCCATTAGGCACTGAAAAGTGGCAGGGCCTCTGAGCAAGCCAAATGAAAGTGTGACAAATTGGTACAAACTACGGAGTGGAGAAGGTTGTTTTTTCCTTGAACTCCGCAGACAAGGGAATTTGCTGGTAACCCTTGGTTCAATCCAGTGTTGTGTAAAAGCGACCAGGGTCGAACCAGTCCAGGGGCTTTTCAAGCATCAAACAAGAAATATTTAACTGAACAGACCCTCACATTATGTATTCACTCAGTGCCTGCATCAATGTGGAACTAAATTCTCCTTGTTATCAGCCAAATATCCTTGGGTAAGATACGAACCTGTAGGTGCTCTCTGATCCATCTATTAGAGTATGAATGTATGCTACTGTTAGCTAGAGCACTTATGTAGAAAAAGTGAATGGTTGAATGAGGCAAGTTGTATAAAGCGCTTTGAATGCTGAAGCAGGACCAGTGAAAGGGACTCTGTGTGTGTGTGTGTGTGTGTGTGTGTGTGTGTGTGTGTGTGTGTGTGTGTGTGTGTGTGTGTGTGTGTATTCATGTTTTGATATATAATGATCAGTCTGTCTGAGGCAGAGTAAAGTTCACATGCTGACGTATGCAGACATCCATGTTGTAGCAACTAGTTTGAACACACTGATCACAGTTAAGCTCTGACACAGTCATACTTTCTTTAAAATGTTTTTATTTAATTATTTGTTTAGAAAATAGCATTTTTACTGCAAAGCAGTCTGTTTCTCTGTTTCCAGTCTATAAATCCAGTAACACTTTCTACCTTCACCTGTGCAGTAAAGACTGAGAGCAGAGATGAAACCAACCATCCAATCAATGAGCAGCATCAACACCTGAACTTTATTCAGACTTTGTTATAAATGAGTGCAGATAAATGAAATTATGTAAATATCCATTATGGATCTGGTACTTTCACAATTCAAAGCTTCCTAGATAGGTCAGCCAATGACGATGCAGCCTTTTGTTGGGTCTGAGACAAATAATTGAAACATGTTGCTGGACACAAAATTCAAAAAGAACAGATATCTGTAGAAAAAAGACATTAAGAACACCACCATCAGAGGCAAAATTTAACCTTTGAGAAACTTTTGTTTCTCAAGAATACCCCAATTTTTCCAGTTATTTGTTGCATTTCAAGTTGTCCAAGTCCAATGACTAACTTGAAATGGTACAAAGGTAAGTGTTGAAATACCAGAGGTTTAAAAGAAAGGTAAGGTAAGGTCAAAACTGAAACATAATGTACATTTCAGAATTATACAAAAAGGCCTTTTGAGACACAACAACATGGGTTAACAATTGAAAGCTGTTCTATAACACAGGAGGTTGATCAAGCCTTGAAAGGTGCTACTAATTCCTACAGGTGTTCCAACTTTTCTACATTATATACAACCTCCTCTGTCTGTATAAAAGCAGTGTTGGAACCCACTGTGGTACCATACCCTCGTGAGCAACAGCTGGACAGTATTGGACTGTAGAAAGTAGCAATTAACAATCAAAGACAGACAGACCATCATAACACTTAAAAATAACACCTAAAGAGATATTGAAAATAACGTAAAGGTGTCAGTGAGTACAGTTTCCTTCACCATCAGAAGGCACTCAGAAACTGGGACAAACTTTGACAGGAAGAGGTCTGGCAGAGCCAAAGCCACAACTGAATCAGATGACAATTTTCAAAAGTTAACAGCTTGCATAAAAGGTGGCTGACAGGACAATAGCTTCAAGCACAGTTTAATATTGGTCGTAATTAGCAAGTCTCAGTTTCAACTGTGAAGAGAAGATTTTCGAGCTGTAGGTTTGACAGGACAAGTGGCAGCAAGAAAGCCATTGCTAAGACATTAGAATAGGACAAAGAGGCTTGCCTGTGCCATGACACACCACCATTGGACGACTGGAATAAGGTATTATGGACTTAGAAATCAAAATTTGAAATTTTCGGTTCATCACGGAGGATCTTTGTGGGCCGTCAAGTAGGCGAAAGGATGGTTCCACAGTGTGTGACATCAGCTGTCAAACATGAAGGAGGAAGTGTCACAGTATGACAGAGGTCTGTCATTAATGCACCAGAGAAATGGACAGTGGTTCCTCAGAGTGACCCAGGGAATGGTTACTTTGTCCCATTTAGATGAAAATTATCTTAAATTATCTTAAATTCTAAAGGAAGATCTGAACAATACTTTTGTCCTCATCACTTTCCAAATCAATGCAGCACTCCTTCAGAGAGCACTTCAAAGTCTCCTGAGCTTAGAAACCAAATTAAAGGTGCAATCTCAATTTAATAATGCTGTCTTCTTCCCTTTTACTTTTCACAACATACAAACAGGTGTTTATAAGTTTCTGTATGAATTTGCTGTTTATGTCCTTATTTTGACACTAAGTCTTCAGCAGCTGACTCACTCTTACCAGTAGATGGCACAATCTCCTCATTCTCATTTTCCATTAAGTGACTCTCTGTTTTTTTAATTTTTAATTTTCCAAAAGTAAAACCATCAGAAATGTTTATTTCTCTAATTTGATTTCATTTTTCTCTGTTTATTTTTCTACAGTTAATACGACAGGAGAGATATAAAAATATTAACAAAGAGGTTGATCCTCATCATGCCAACTGCTTCAAATACTTATTATTCAGAATCTGATCTGATCCTAACTATTTGTTCATTAGTCTGTCACTTTAATGTTTGAGCAGATATCATTTCTTTATATAGGTTTTTTTTTTCACCTACTTCAGCAAGTTTCAGTGGTGGTTATTTGGTTATCAAAATCCATTGTTTTCTTACTTACTGTCATACACACCGTCAGGCTGATGTTTCTCTCACATGTCACGCTGGACTGAATCCAGAAGGTATCTTGGTACAGTCTAGAGTCCGAGGCAGTCAGGTTGTTGAGAGCAAATGAAGTAGAATCATAAAATGTCTCAAGAACTAGGGATAGGGTTCAGACTTCTTAAAAATTAAAATTAAAAAGTGTTCTTAAGCAATAGTTATCTTTGGACATTCCACCTTTTTTTCACTCATATTTAGTCCAGTCCCTGTAATTGACCATTTTTAGAAAAATGTTTTTTGTTTGTTTTCTGAATTTATGTTGTATATTTATGTTTGAATGATTCATCATTCAAACATAAATATGATTAATCATTCAAACATAAATATACAACATAAATTCATAAATATACAACATAAATATATGTTGTATATTTATGTTTGAATGATTAATCATTCAAACATAAATATACAACATAAATTCAGCAAAGACCTAAGATATACCTCTGGACTTTCAGTTGATCCTTGTACTGTTCACTTAAAATAATCACAGGTGGTCCCAGTGGAAGAGTGGCTGTCAAGAAGCCACTGCTAAGGAAGGGAAATGGGGAGAAAAATACGGGGTATGCCAAATTACATAGGAACTCTGTGTCAAAATCAACAGGTGGCAACAGGTCTGATGGAGTGATGAAAACACATAAATCACTATCAGTATGTGTGGAAGTCAAGAGAGAGGATCAACAGTGAATGTCTACAGCCATTTGTAAAACACGGTGGAGCAGAATGTCATTCACAAATCCTGGAGAACTATTCCGGAAGACTACTTTAAAAAATTACAAGAAACCTGCCTAAGAAATTTCAGGCTGTGTTGAAGAATAAAGGTGGTCATACCACGGCTCATCAGAGTTGTACAAACTGTTATTGACATATATTTTGCATTTCCATGAATGTGTGCACATTTCTATTAATTACTGCGCCTGCTTCCCATTTTCAAAATATAATGAAATGAACAGTTACCCAAGCCCTTCAACATTTTTTCATCCTTTATCAAATAGATGTGCAGTGAAGAGTGACAGGAAAGTGGAGGAGAGACAGAGGGGAAGGCGTGCAGCAAAGGGTCGTGGGTTAGACTTGAACCCAGACCGTGTGTGCTCAGCCATATGGCACTCCGATGACATACAAACAGAATACCATCACACGGGAAACAGAACTATCACAATAAAATATATATGTGTAATTCACACTGAGATACAGAACTGGGAATAAACATGGAGAAAGAACTAAACCTACACTAGAGACATAACACACAAACCATGGAAGGCACAGGAACAAAACCTAAGAACTAGAAATCACAAAATACTAAATAACTTAGGTCATGTCCACACTAATACATTTTCGTTTGAAAAAGACTCTTTTTCTCTCTGTTTTGGCCTTCCGTCCACACTGAGATGGCGTTTTTGGTCAAGGAAAACTTTTTGAAACCTTTCTCCAAAGCGGATACATTTGAAAACGCTGTCGCAGTGTGGACAGCGTAACCACTGGCTTTCGGAAACAATGACGCATTTTAGTCATGTGATGCAGTCATGTGACTAATTAAACTAAGATAGCAGAGAGCATTATACAGTAGTTGTTTTGTTTGCTCTCAATTTTGACAGCCCTATTAAAGATTAATTAATATCAGTTTGTACATGCTTCAGATAGCTTTTCTTCAAATTCTTTAATTTTCAATCAGTTTTGCAACTTTGTACTTTTGTGTTACTCACAGCAACAACTACATCTCATTATTAGTCCATTTAAAAAACTCTGTGCTTTTCCTCAACATTTTGGTGCGATGTTTTGCGATGAATAGCCGGAAAGTAAATAAACGGCAGACAGAAATAACGCAGGTTGAATCATCTTACATTTCACTCATGCGCAAAACAGTAACATAAGCGTTTCAGGTGTTTCAGTGTTGACGAACAACTGATCGGAAATGATTAAAAACACTAGTGTGGACGCGTAGTGTTTTTAGCCAAAAATGTTTTAAAATTTATCCGGATTAGTGTAGCCTTAGGAAGCTAGATATACAAAAGACTAAACTATGAAAAACATTAAATCAAAGAAGATTAAATATTAATAAATAATCAAAACACAAGCACTGGGTCACCAGACCCAGGATCATGACATCCGGCAGCTGTTTTGCTGTGGCTGCATTAGAGATATGCATACAATAAAAATAAGCTCTAAGCTAAAATTCAAATAGAAACAGTAAAATATGATAGTGATTGAAAAAGTCATGAAAAATAGTAATGATATCAAACATCAGCTCAAACTGAGCAATGTATTCAAAATACAGAAGGTTGTTTAAAAGGTGCTTTTGGAGGTAGTTGTCATTTGTGGACAAACACATCTGTCTTTGTTTTTGATGCAGCATTTTATAAAATTCAGATCTGAAATCATAACAATGAAACAGCTTAAAAAAATTAGCATCAAAACAAATCTAATGTATATTACCAAAATCCACCAGATTCTACTCCAGGGCCCTTTGTGATAGATTTCATGTTTCATTCAAACTAAAGTGAAACACAGCATATGCAGTGCTATTCAGGCACATTAAAATATTCCTAAGAATGGATCCTTGAATAATTGTAGCTTCCATCTTTAAAGGAGTGAAGAGGAAGAAGTTTACAAGGAATCATTTAGAACAGTTTAAAACATCAACTCATTGAATCCATTAACCTTAAAATGCGTAGAGTATTTCTCTAACAGGAGGACACTCTTTATACTCAACTCAGCACAGACACACTGAGGCACCATGAAAAGACAATAAAAATCCAGGATAAACAGGTTCAGTGAATGTGGTGTTGAAGGTGTGGAGGCGGATCAGAGTGCCAGACGAGACTCTGTAGAAGGACATAGTGCCAGCAGGACAGTCCACATACACTGCTACTCTGTTAGAGACAGAGGAGGAGTAGGAAGAGGAGGGGGGGATGGTTGTGGATCTGCAATTGTGACAGACAAACTGAGGACCACCATCAGTGCAGTGCAGACTCCAGGAATGATCATTGAGTCCAAACCAACAGTCATCATTGTTTCCTTTCCTTCCGATTCTTCTGTAACTCACTGATATAGAAATGTTTCCCTTCCACTCGACCTCCCAGTAACAGCGACCAGTCAGTTCATTACTACATAGCAGCTGAGGCCAAACATCAAATCTGTCTGGATGATCAGGATATGACTGAACCTCCATAATATTATGTGTCACCTTCCTGTTGTTGTCAGACAGTTTGAGGTTTCTATTTACTGTGCTTGTGTCGATTGTGAGTTGACAGGAATCTGATGGAGAGAAGAAACACAATCCAACTGCAGTTATGGATCCATCATCTGTTCATTGATTAACACTTTGATGATGACTACTGACATCGGAGATGTAAATCAGTGATGTGACAGTTTGAAGATGTCAGTGTTGTGGTGTGGTGAGAGAGAAGAGAGAACCCAAATGCAGGACTTGCAGGCAGATTGACGATGTGGATGGTGTTTATTGCAAGGACTGGACGGACAGAACATAAACTGACTGAAACTGAATGACTGGTAGACTGAACTGAACCAGAAAACACACATGCAGATTAGAGGACAAGACAAGTAACTGAGGAAAACCGATGACTTAAATATACTGGATAATGAGTTGAAAATAAATGAGTTTTGGTGGGCGGCCGCGTGACCAGTTGCTAAGATGACTCAATTTGGGTGGATGACCGCATGGACAGCACGTAAGATGAATCAGTTCGAGTGGGCAACTGTGTGGCCAGTGCCAAAGACAAATCAGTTCAGGTGGGTGGTTGTGTGGCCAGCGGCAGCACCCGCGATGCTCCACTGTGGACCAGCAGAGGTGATGGGACACCTCTAACAGGTGGGAAGGTTGCTGGTGGCGTGATTTGGCAAAGCTCTCTAGTGGAGAAAAAGCAGGACCCGCAGGTGGGAAACCTCTGGTGGAGACTTGGCACCGGAACAGGTGGAGGAATTGGCCAGACCCTAGCCGTCCCAACTCGAGAAACAAGTATGGATGCAGGGATGGGTTGAGTGGCTTCAGTGCAGGGACAGGTGCAGGAGCTGGCTGGACACCAGTCACCCAAGCCCGGGGAACAGGTATGGGTGCTGGAGTGGACTGGGTCTCAGCTGTCCTTGCCCTGGGAGCAGGCATGGGAATGGGTGACGGCTGGACGTCAGTTGCCCCTACCTGAGGAATTGGCAAGGGTGCAAGGAAATGCTGAGTGCTATCTGCCCGGGGAGTGGTACAGGGACTGGCTGGGCCCTAACGGCACTGCGAACAGGAGCAGGCTGAGAGACAGGTCTTGGGGCTGGGAGACAGGTCTTGGCATGGAGACAGGACGAGAGAAGTGATCAGATCTGGACTTAAGAATGTCCTTTGTGAAGCCAAAAAGGGAAAAACAGTTTTTATGGGTGCAGGGTGGTAATGACATTTTTTTTGACAGTCCACCATAGGTTGACAATAACTAATCACTGGCTTTTTTAGAAGAAATGGTATTTGGTCTATGGTGAGGAGGAGTCTTTGGCTCATGGTGAAAATGAAGAAAAATGTCTGACTCACTCACCACCAGATATTGCAGCTTGCGAGAGCAGCGGCAGCAGCAGCAGCGGGAGCTTTGGCTGAAACAACAGACCTGCTGAATGATGTAACCTCCATCAGGATGAGATGGGAGGCGGAACCGCTTTGACACGACAAGGTGGGAGTGCTAGTGAATGAGGCAGTAGGTGGACGCATGAGGACCGAGCAGCCGGAGATCAGCGGTTGGCGCCTATTTCCCATGGCTAAGGCTCGCGTGCAGGTGAGGCAGCAGGTGGAGGACTGCAGTGCCTTCAAGGACTCTCCAGAGCCAGATGAATCCCCTCAAAGACATGCTCATGTTGGAGCATAAGCCACAGATTAACCCCCAGCTCTCTTTCCAGAAAGAAGAATGCTGCCTGCTGCCATTGGTATAATTCGAGGTCCACTGGGTTCATATCATGTCTTCGCAGCACGAGTCTCGTCATTCTATCAGCATCGTGGTGTGGTGTGGTGAGAGAGAAGAGGGGACCTAAATGCAGGACTCGCTGGCAGATTGGGGAAGTAGATGGTGCATATTGTAAGGAATGGATGGACAGAACATAAGCTGACTTAAACTGAACTGGGTAACACACACATGGATTAGACTGTGACAAGACAGGGAACTGAGGAGAACTGACGGATTAAATACACTGGATAATGGGGATGATAAGAAACACGTAAGTACATAGCTGAACTTAATCTAACTAACAATACATAGGAAGTGGAACAGAACATAATGCACACAGAAAGATAACTAAGACAGTAAAACAGGAAACGGGGATAGAAAACTCAATGGTGACAAAGCTTAACTGGAAACACTGGGTCAACAAGCCGGGCATCCTGACAGAAGATGGTTGGATGTGTACTGCTTTGTTTTAATAAATCACATTAAAAACACACTTACACTTCCTCAGACCTGGTTTTAACCATCGGACTCCAGCAGGCTCCAACCTGGAAGGAGGAGGGGAGAGGAAAAATCATATGTCATTAAGATTACTTCCAGTCTGAGTTATTGTCTGATTACTGACAACTTAATGAAGACAAATAGAGAATTAGAAAATCATTCATTTTCAAATATATATTCTATTCCATCAAAATATAACAATAAAAATTTAATTGCGACTGTTGTTGGCTAGCATACAATGTTAAAAATAATAAAATGAACAACAGCAGGATCTCTGACTGTGGTAATACAAACCTAAATATGTGAAGAAGGCAACAAACACTGATCCTTGAATATTTTATTTATATATACAAAGATTTAACAGCACGGTAGCTAACAACACTATACTAAGTGAACTGCTGTGGATGATTATCAGCAAAGCACATTTTGTTCAACAAAAATCATTCTCAGCTTAAGCGTAGGTTTTATGTTAACTGTTCTCTACATTCACAGCTGAATCCAGAATAAATATGTTCAAGTACTCTCTTCCTGTTCAATCAAACACTCTTCCCCATACCTGAGAGTCTTAAGTCTCCAGCGTGGATTCTTCAGTCCAGCCGAGAGCAGCTTTATTCCTGAGTCCCCTGGATGATTGTAGCTCAGGTCCAGCTCTTTCAAATGGGAGGGGTTGGAGCTCAGAGCTGAGGCCAGAAAACTACAGCCGTCTGCTGTGACCAAACAGCCTGACAGACTGAAAACACACAACACTCCATCTGTGAGCTATGATTTTCTGTTTGTCAGATACAATAACATTTTTCAATTTCCATCCATTCAATTTCATTTACCTTTATTTATAAGAGACAATTCCCAATGGACAACAATAGTCACTTCAAGTTAACAGAGTAAGGCAACACACTACAATATTAGCGAGAAAGCTGCGTCCAAGATGCAGCTTTGCACATTGGCATACTCCCCCATATTGCTTGTCTTGTGTGTTTATGGTGTTTATGTGATGATATTTGTGCTTTTTATGTGCTGAAGTTTTTTTGTCTTCTCCTCATGCCAACTACTTTGGGGATAAGTTGGAGCAGAAATTGTTTTTTTCTCCTGATCTGCCCTTTTGTGTTACACATTACACATTCCTGTCTCCCTAACGTGAAGTTTGTGTATTGTATGTATGGTCAATATAATAAAACCTTTCTTCTTTCTTCTATTAATTATTATAACCCACTAAGCACTGGACATAGGACAGACATGCAGATCCCATTGGGTCCATTCTGGACATTATACGACATCCAAACTAGGTCCACAATTTGGACTTCCAACCACAACCCAACCTGAAGGTCAATATGACATTCACCTTTTGAAATTTGGACTTGGCAATTTTTTATAGGTCATGTGAACATCTATAACAAGTGCAGAGAATATACACATTTAATAACATAACCCAGATTTTAAAAATGCATAAATAGTAAAAAATAAGTAAAGTCTAAGATTATGAATAGCAAAGAGATAAATTCATTTATTCAATTTCTTTATTTTATTAAAAAGTCAAAATTCATGTAAAATGAGTAAAAACATATGTGCATTGTTTAATATAAGCCAAAAGCCAAGCAACATATTTAAGTTATCTAAGTGATTTATATGTCATCTTTAACCTAAGAAGCAAAAGACCGTGGCAGATCTGAAAACGCCAGGAGTCCGATTTTCTCGCCGGCTCTAGTGGGCCTTGACCTCCTGATCAGCTATCGAGCTGGTGAATAACAGGTGTCTCCGAAAACATCAGAGCAGTTTTGCCAATATGTGATGTCTTAATAAATCGAACAGATATTTGAAGTTTACACAGCTACATTTTCATCTTTCGGCTGAGGACCAGGTGGAGTGCCCAACCCGGGTCAGGGACAAGTTCCTGCCCCAAGTGGAGGAGTTCAAGTATCTTGGGGTATTGTTTATGAGTGATGGGAGAAGGGAGCGGGAAATCGACAGACAGATTAGTGATGCGGCCGCAGTGGTGCAAACGCTGTTGTGGTGAAGCGAGAGCTGAGTGTAAAAGCGAAGTTCTCAATTTATCGGTCGATCTACATCCCTACCCTCACCTATGGTTATGAGCTGTGGCTAGCGACCGAAAGATCAAGATCACTGATACAAGCGGCGGAAATGGGCTTCCTCCGAAGGTTAGCTGGCATCTCCCTTAGAGATAGGGTGAGAAGTTCGGCCAATCAGGAGAAAAAGCAGGACCAGGATCAGTAGAGCCACTGCTCCTTCACATTGAAAGGAGCCAGTTGAGGTGGTTTCGGCATGTGACAAGGATGCCTCCTGGGTGCCTCCTGGGTGAGGTGTTCTGGGCATGACCCACCGGAGGAGGCCCCGGGGCAGACTCAGGACATGCTGGAGAGATTATATCTCTCGACTGGCCTGGGAATGCCTGGGTGTTCCCCCGCACAAGCTGGAGGAGGTGGCTGGTGAGAGGGAGGTCTGGGCTTCTCTGCTTGGGCTGCTGCCCCCACAACCCGGCAGCAGAAAATGGATGGATGGATATTCTCATCTGAAAATATCTTAAAAGTTCATTTTGTGACCCAGAAAGAGTAATAATACAGCTAAGTAGCTGACACCATATTCGGAAACTGGAACTGGCTGAGCCGTGTTATGAATTCTGAAATAGGTTGGGCCACGAACCTGACCCATCCTTCAAATCTGGGGAAATGAAGGAGGTGTTTGTCAGCGCAAACGCATTTGTTGACGCATTTTTTGCCCTTTTACTGAAAAGACTTTAGTTTGGAGATCTTATTGGATTGCTAAATTCTCAAGTATTAGCATAGGCCTGCAAAGTAGGATGTATTTGTGCGAGCTTTATGTTTAGTTTTTGGGTCAGTAATTGTTTCTATTACCAGTGGTCTACACTGTATGTGGGGATTCATTGTACAGTTAGTATATTGCTGTTTTTCGGTTAGCCCGAATATTAAAACATGCCGTTTTATTATTTTGGCTAATTAAAGGACTGTTGCGAAGATCTACTTTACATTGTGTATGGTGTAATTTACTGCACTGTTAATCACTACTGTTCATTTTCGTGGGTAATACTACTTTTACAAATCAGACAAGTGAATTAAAAGTAAGTTAAATTATACAGTACGAATGTACACTGAAAAAGAACCCAGAGCCCACTTACTTAATAGCATTGCGTAAATAAGGCCAAAATAAGTATAATATTGCTTAAAAATATCAAAATTGTTTTCAAGAGGCTACATATGAATACAGATTATATATGAACAAATACTATTTATTATGTATTATCCTATTGATTTGTTCAGTACGTATTTTTTATTTTATTTTTTATTTTGCATTTTCCTGCTTTTGTTTGTTGAAATATTAAAGACATAAAGAGATTCAGTAGACATCAGGTCTTTGGGTCCTTGTGCTGCTAAAAGAGGAAAAGGAACGCAAATTAGCCATGTGATGTAGGTTAAGGGGCTATCTGATTAGTTGAGAGAGTACCCTGACTACCCTGCTGTTTGCATGCTTTGCCTTGCACTGCTGTGGAGAGCTTTTAAAGAAGTGTATGTACTGGATGTAGCCCGGATAGGAATTCCGCAGTAAGTACTTATAATTCCTATGGACTTTTGTCCAAAACTCAAACACAGCAATAGCGGAGAAGAGCAGCTAAAAGTTTTAAATATTATTGTTTCTGTGACACAAAATAAACTATTAAGATATTTTCAGATGAGAATGTAGCTGTGTAGACCTATAATATCTGCTCGATTTATCATATTTGCAAAAGTGCTCTGATATTTTTGGAGAGGTCTGTTAGCCCACCAGCTCAATGGCTGACTGGAAGGTCAAGGCTCATTAGAGCTGGTGAGAACAGCGGACTCCTGGCATGTCGCTTGACTGTCTACTAAAAATTAAAATAAAAGCGTTCTAACATCTCACCTGTTTGTTATTATTCGAGCATACATGTATAGTATTTGTTTTAATAGAGAGATTAAGCTTGTCTTTCTGTCATGCCGTGATTGTACTTAACTGTATAAAGCCTATTAGACATTATAAAACAAAACATATGTAATAGCAAATTTTGTCAGACTGCTTAAAATACCTTTTTAAACTCTTTTTTTCTTAAAGAAATCTACTAAAAATTGCTAGGTGGCAATTTTTCACATCATGTGTAATTTCCATTCTAAATATTAATCACAGTTAAATTGACGGGAGATGGCAGTAAAACTCTGGAGCTGAGATATCACCAGCTACACTGCTGTTCCAATTGTAGAATGATTTCCAGCTGACAAACTGGCCTGTAATGAGTGTGAATGTCAGTGTGCCGGGGGGCCTATATGTGAGTATAGCGCATTTAGTATATTTACATAGCGTATTTCTGATAAGGTATCAGTGAGTTAACCACTAAGACTTAATATCATTTTAAAGGGTATTCAAAGAGTATATTTCATTTACTGAATGAAACTGTAATATCATTTGAGTTAAAAAAAAAAAAAGTGTGTTTTTGTACTTTGTCTGTCCTACCCTTATGTTCAGTAAATGTTCAGTTTCTGTCCTAAAGAGTGGTCTGGGGTCAATTCTTTCTTTAATGTTTATGCAGGGGTTTACTCTTAGTATCCCTGATTCCTGTCCATACGACAACCATTTGTGGAATCTGTGCTATAAAGAACCCAACACCCCAACTAGGAAGTCGAAACTGAGGCAAGCAGGGTTAGACTCAGTATAACGAGTGGGTTGCTACATGTACAAGGACTTCAGACCTTAAACAAGAGCAATAAACGGCAAAAAATCTGAAACCAAGTCTATCAAAATGTCATGCATGGATATATGAAGAATGAAGAGGCACTGCATTGTATATAAAATGAAATATACTTGGGGAAGACTACTACATTTATTATGGTAACCACACAGGTTTAAAGCTGTTTTGTGGGAGGAGCAAAAGCTGGTCTGGTATTTTGGGGAAGTCAAACCCATGGTCGGAACTGCTTCAGTAATGCCTACCATGAGTCTTATTTTTTAATTAATTGAAAATAATAATCCAAAAAAACCCCAAAAAACTGTTTTCTCCCCTTTATGAAATATTTACACCAAAATTGTTAGTGGAGAAAAAAGAAAGTGAAAAAAAAGTTTGAGAGAACTGTTAACAAATAGGTCACCTGTAATAAATGGGTTACAGTCTTATGAAACATTCCATCAGTTTTTCATTGCCCATAATGCAGGGGAAAGGTTAGAATAACAATTAAGTAACTTTATTATGTTTAGGTTTTTTCCTACTTTCTAACGAAAATATACTTTCTGTATTAATATGACTTAGAACTGATATTTGGGCAGGATTTATTTTCTCCTTCAAACCATGGGTGTTTTTTGAGATAATTCTCTCTCTCTCTCTGCTTTTTTGAGTCACTGAAGTTCACTCAGCTGTCCTATCTTCCTCTTATGATGAAGTCAGGCTCAAAATTCTCGTTTTTTTTTTGTGTGTAATTGTATAATGTACAATCAATACTGCAAGAAACTTCAGAATACTGTCAGAAATTGGGATTTTATGTTTAGTGGACAGAAGTTCCTCTGAAATAAAGACTTCTGTTCACTTAACAATTGCTAAGCTTAGCTGTTTGTGCAACAATATAGATTTTAAATGACAGTGTATGAACATTTTTGAATCCTGACCTGAGAGTTTTAAGTCTACATTGTGGAGTCTCCACTGCGCCAGACAGAAGCTTCACTCCTGAATCGTGCACATTGTTGTTACTCAGGTCCAGCTCTCTCAGACTAGAGGACCGGGAGCTAAGGAACGAGGACAGAGCTTCATAGCTTCTCTCTGAGAGGTTACAGGCGCTCAGTCTGAAAATTAATCAAGAACATAAATAATATGTTTCATATATTTAATCACTTTTTTTTCAGTAATACTTCAGGAAACCTCATAACATGCAACAAAAAATGGATGGACTTTAATTGGTTAATTTTGAGAAACAAAATATGTCTTGATCTGACCTCAGACTAGTCAGCTTGCAGTTCAGATTCTGCAGTCCAGCAGAAAGACTGTCAGAGCTTCTCAATGAGAGATTACAAAGACTCAGTCTGAAAATTAAAACATGAACAATGAAACAACACTCGTTAAACTGTAATCAGGGTTCAGTAAGGAGCTACTTACTACTACATTTAGCGCTATTTACTTGCAGTGTGTTTTAAAGAATCCTTATCATCTGAGGTTAAACAGGTTAAAAATGTGACAGTTTCACTTAAAACTAATGTAAAAACAACAATTCATAAAGCTGACATTTATGGGCTAAATTTTTAACTGTTTAATTTTGTCAGCTGAAAAAAAAGACCAAAAGAAAAAAAATGAATATATTTGATCTGACCTCAGAGTTCTCAGTTTACAATGTGGACTCTCCACTGCTTCAGACAGAAGCTTCACTCCGGAATCCTCCATGCTATTGTTACTCAGGTCCAGCTCTCTCAGGCTTGAGGACTGGGAGGTGAGAACTGACGACAGAGCTCTACAGCTTCTCTCTGAAAGTTCACAGATGCTTAGCCTACAAAAAAATAAGAAAAAATACAGAAAGATTATATTTATGGCATTTGTTCAACCTAAACAATAAAAACTAATATATTGGAGTCCACTAGAAGTTATGGTTAACTAGAAATCTCTTAAGTCATAAAATGAAGGAAACTATTTAAATTTCCTTAAAATTCTAATTACACTTCTGTATTTGCATATAAATAAGTTACAGGCCGTTCAGTGCGCAGGGTCTTTTAGGAGATCCATCTGTGGTGATCTGAATTAGGCTCTCCTGCTCAGACACTGATGACGAAGTAGGCACGGAGGTGAATGGGTAATGTATCCAATCATTTAACCTGCCCGTCTATGAGAAGTATCAGCATAACTGCGCCGCCAGCTCCTGAAGGTGCATGTTACAGTCATGCTTTACACTGTTTGATAATGTGTGCTTCTGTGTTGTTTTTGACCATGCAGTTCTTCCAAAGGTTTAACTTCTTTATCATGGCCACAACTTTATCATAAACAATGAATATGATTGTAGAAATGCCTTGTAATCCGAGAGTGAGTTCGTTCAGACGGGAAAATATATCACACAGATGAGCCAGGCACGTAAGGTACTCTACATCATGCAAATGTTCAGACAGCTCAAAGGGATGGTTACTGAAGAAAACTTTACGTTCTTCCCTCAGCTCAAAGAAACAGGGCAGCACTTTCCCTCTTGAGAGCAAGAAAACCTCTGTGTGGAGTAATACAGTTTCAGGCTCGCTGCCCATCTCACTGCACAATGCAGCAAATAAGTGGGAGTTCAAAAAGTTAATAATTTTTACAGTGGTGTCCAAGACATGTTTCAGACGGACAGGTATTCCCTTTGCAGCAAGAGCCTCTCTGGATGCTGCAGTGTACCCAAGAAGCATCTGGCGCTACTGCCTGTACACACAAACCACACCTCTTTGTCTCCCAGTCATGGCCCATGCACCATCAGTGCAGATGCCAACACATCTGTCCCACACGAGTCCATGTGTGATCATAAATGTGTCCAGCTTTTGAAAAATATCTACTGCAGTTGTCCTTTCTTCGAGTGGTTTACAGAACAGCATGTTCTCCTTGACGGTTCCTTCATGAATGTTGTGCAAATATACAAGGAGCCACATTCGTGGACTCATTCAGTTGTATTGCGTAAAGTTCACTGTGGCGTATGTGCTGAAGTAGCTGCTGTAAAACATTTTCTGATGTTGCATTGATGAGACAGCATTGTTTGATGATGGATTCAAGGTTCTTTATTTGTCACATGCATAGTTATACAAGTATAACACACAGTGAAATGTAGCCTGACACGCTCCTCAACATGTGCAAAAAAATTGGGGGGGGTGTAGAGGAAGAACATTATATATATATACATATATATATATAACCAAGTGGCCATAACCAAGTGGCCGGCATAGTGTACAGGACCATCTGTGCCGAGTATAACCTGGAAGTCCCGAGGTCAAAATGGGAGATGCCCCCAAGGGTGGTGGAGAATGACCGAGCTAAGATCCTGTGGGACTTCCAGATACAGACGGACAAAATGGTGGTGGCTAACCAACCGGACATAGTGGTGGTAGACAAACAGAAGAAGACGGCCGTAGTGATCGATGTAGCGGTTCCGAATGACAGCAATATCAGGAAGAAGGAACACGAGAAGCTGGAGAAATACCAAGGGCTCAGAGAAGAGCTCGAGAGGATGTGGAGGGTGAAGGTAACGGTGGTCCCCGTGGTAATCGGAGCACTAGGTGCGGTGACTCCCAAGCTAGGCGAATGGCTCCAGCAGATCCCGGGAATAACATCGGAGATCTCTGTCCAGAAGAGCGCAGTCCTGGGAACAGCTAAGATACTGCGCAGGACCCTCAAGCTCCCAGGCCTCTGGTAGAGGACCCGAGCTTGAAGGATAAACCGCCCGCAGGGGCGTGCTGGGTGTTTTATATATATATATATATATATATATATATATATATATATATATATAGATAGTATATACATTGGGTGAATGTGCAGTAGTGGCAGCAAGCAGGTGAATTCTGTACATTATTATGAATAGACATCTGACTATTTTACAGGATAGACAATATAAACATATTTAAAATTAAAGGAATTGAAATGTACATTGTGCCTTGGTTTAGTGTCTGGAAGAGTCCTGACTCAGTCAATTATAGATGATGTGAGAGGGCGGGTGTGTGTGTTTAGGGCACGGATGGCTTGGGGATAGAAGCTCCTCTTGAGTCTCTCTGTCCTTGCCCGGAAGATGCGGAACCTTCTACCAGATTGCAGAAGTTGGAACAGTTTGTTGCCAGGATGGGACGGGTCCTTCAGTATCTGCGCTGCTCTAGTCCGGCATCTCCTGGTGTAGGTGTCCTGAAGCGGGGGAGAGCAATCCTGCAGAAGCGTTCTGCTGTACGGATCACTGTCTGGAGAGCTTTTTGGTCATTCACACAGCTGTTCCCAAACCACGATGTCATGTTCTGTGTGAGGATGCTCTCCACAGCACCTGTATAGAAAATCCTGAGGATCTTTGGAGAGACCCTGAACTTCCTCAGTTGTCGTAGGTGATACAGGCGCTGCCTAGCCTTTTTGGTCTGGACCTAAATGTGGGCAGCCCATGTCAGGTCTGAGGAGATGTGGACACCAAGATACTTGAAGGACTGCACCCTCTCCACTGGAGCTCCATTGATGATAATGGGCTTGTAGTCTCTGTGCTGACGCTTCTGAAGTCCACCACCAGCTCCTTGGTCTTGCTGACGTTCAGCTGGAGGTGGTTGTCCTGGCACCACGATGCCAGATTCTTTACTTCATCCATGTAGGCCGTCTCATCGTTGTTGGAGATGGCACCCAACACCACTGTGTCGTCAGCAAACTTCACAATGGTGTTGGAGCCATGGGTGGCCACACAGTCTGAAGTGTAGAGGGAGTAGAGCAGTGGCGAGAGGACACAACCCTGAGGTGCTCCTGTGTTGATGGTGATGCTGTTGGAGAAGCACCTGCCCACCCTCACCACCTGAGTTCTGCCAGTGAGGAAGTCCAACACCCATGCACACAGATGGCTGTTAAGTCCCAGATCCCTCAGCTTTGTGAACAGTCTGCAGGGCACTATTGTGTTAAACGCTGAACTGTAATCAACAAACAGCATTCGCACATAGTTACCCTGTTTCTTGTCCACATGGCTGAGAGTGGTGTGTAGGACGTGGGCGATGGCATCCTCTGTGGATCTGTTGGATCTGTAGGCGAACTGCAGCGGATCTGTGGTGTCTGGGATGGAGGAGGAGATGATGTTCTTCAGCAGCCTCTCAAACACCTTCATTACTACCGAGGTCAGTGCAACTGGCCGGTAATCGTTCAGGGATGAGGGTTTGCTGTTCTTGGGCACAGGGATGATGGAGGGACTGTAATGGACAGGGAATGGACTGTATTGTCTTTTTGCCTTTTCCCCCAACATTCTCACTACCATATCTAAAGCAGCAGGGAGAATGCAGTCCTCCACAATAGTGTGGGGTTTGTTGTTTTTAGCCACTCTAAAACTGACCATATAAGATGCTTGTGGTCTGTTTTTATTCATAGGATCCGGCACTCGAATGCAGCTTTTACTTGTTTAAAGTGATTTTAGCTGTCGCTCAAAATGTTCTCATGGTTTATTTTTCAAATGGGGATGATTTGTCTCTAAATCTCTGTGCAATACTGAAGGTTTCATTGAGTTGTGAAACAATACTTGCACAATTATCACATTATGGCTGGGAAAATCCCCAGTATTTATACATGTGAACATCAGTGAAATATAATTGTCATCATATTTGCGCTTCTTTGTGTTACAGTCAGAGGTGACATGCTTTCTCCCACTTTGAGGCTCCACATCAGACCCTTCATTACTTTCCACATGACTGTCTCCTTCTATGCTAGATACTTGGCTAGTAACCACAGATACATTTGTGCTGGCATCCCAATCTGACAAACACATTGTTGAACAATCACCTGTGCGGTCACTGGCAAATGCATCTTCAGATATGAGCTGATTGGTGGTAGTGGCCGCTGTTTCGGTGGCAGAGCATTTTCTTTTGGTTAACCATTTGTCCATTTCTTCAACAGTGCAACTTCAACAGTCAGGCGTCAGTCAATTGGGGAAGTCGCACCCATGTATTTTGTCAGGGCAATTGTTTTGCTAAACACCAGAGGGTGGTATATACACATGTATGTAATAGCCACATTAAACTGTATTAGTGCAAATTTAGGCTTTTTGAATTGGTAATTACCCCGTCCCACGTATCACCTACAGCCTCTCCCATACCCCCGAGGGTAGGCGTACCCTAGTTTGGAAACCAGCGCAATAAAGAATAATAATATAGAAAAAACTTAACTCCCATATTGAACTGAGCAGTGCACTAATGCAGAGAAATTACTTTAGAACACCAGAGATTAAATGAATGATAACTGAAGAGTAACTGAAGAGGGATAGCTCAGTAGGTAAAGTGGTCGCCCCATGATCGGAAGGTCGGCGGTTCGAATCCACTTAACGGCTACCCTGAGGTACCCCTGAGCAAGGTACCGTCCCTACACACTGCTCCCCGGGCGCCTGCTTAGTGGGCTGCCCACTGCTTCACTGAGTGAATGGGTCAAATGCAGAGAAAAACAAGTAATTTCCCCATGGGGATCAATAAAGTATCCATTATTATTATTATTATTATTATAAGAGTAAACAGTAACAGAACACCGGACTGGTAGATGAGTTTTTGGTACAAAGAAAACAGTTCTGGAAGGTACTTTGATAAGTGATAAACCCACAGATGTCTCAGAAATGCTGATAATTTCTGCTGCTCTGACAATTCAAAAGGATCATATGCTTGCAGATGATCATTCATTTGAATTTTTTAAGGTTTTTTAATGGATCAGCACCCATCACGATGTTTATATTGCTTAAATTGCTCACTTGATTGTTTTTTTGTTAAGTAGAATCAATATTTCAAAAATAAAAGGATGAGTACATTTTTACTTACAGAGCTTTTTGGAGGCTTTGATCACCGGTAGGAGTTTTAGAAGAGCCTCCTCTGAAGCAGAGTATTTCTTCAGGTCAAACACATCCAGATCTTTTTCTGATGACAGTAAAATGAAGACCAGAGCTGACCACTGAGCAGGAGAAAGTTTCTCCGTGGAGAGACTTCCTGATGTCAGGCACTGTTGGATCTCCTCCACTAGAGAACGATCATTCAGTTCATTCAGACAGTGGAACAGATTGATGCTTTTCTCTGCAGACAGATTCTCACTGAGCGTCTTCTTGATGTACTGGACTGTTTCCTGACTGCTCTGTGAGTTTCTTCCTGTCTGTGTGAGCATTCCTCGTAGGAGAATCTGACTGTTCTGTAGTGAAAGACCCAGGAGGAAGCGGAGGAACAAGTCCAGGTGTCCATTTGGACTCTGTAAGGCCTTGTCCACACCACTCTGGTGGAAGTGCTTAAGTGTAGATTGTCCCGTTTCAGACTTCTGGGAGGTTGCTTGTTCTTCCAGCACATTAATTCCAGAGTTGATGAAGGTCAGATGGACATGAAGAGCAGCCAGAAACTCCTGAACACTCAGATGGATGAAGCAGAACACCTTGTCCTGGTACAGTCCACTCTCCTCTTTAAAGATCTGTGTGAACACTCCTGAGTATACTGAGGCTGCTCTGATATTAATGCCACACTCTGCCAGGTCTGATTCATAGAAGATCAAGTTTCCTTTCTGCAGCTGATCAAAAGCCAGCTTTCCCAGAGAATCAATCATCTTCCTGCTCTCTGGACTCCAGTGTGGATCTGTCTCAGCTCCTTCATCATACTTGACCTTCTTCACTTTGGCTTGAACCACCAGGAAGTGGATGTACATCTCAGTCAGGGTCTTGGGCATCTGTCCTCCCCTTCTGGTTTTCAGCACATCCTCCAGAACTGTAGCAGTGATCCAGCAGAAGACTGGGATGTGGCACATGATGTGGAGACTTCGTGATGTCTTGATGTGGGAGATGATCCTGCTGGCCTGATCCTCATCTCTGAATCTCTTCCTGAAGTACTCCTCCTTCTGTGGGTCAGTGAATCCTCTGACCTCTGTTACCATGGAAACACAGTCAGGAGGGATTTGACTAGCTGCTGCAGGTCGTGTGGTTATCCAGAGGCGAGCAGAGGGAAGCAGTTTCCCCCTGATGAGATTTATCAGCAGCACATCCACTGAGGTGGACTTGCAAGGGTCAGTCAGGATTGTAGTTTTGTGGAAGTCCAGAGGAAGTCGACACTCATCCAGACCATCAAAGATGAACACAACCTGGAGGTCTTCAATGCTGCTGATTCCTCCTTCTTTGGTTTCAGTAAAGAAGTGATGAACAAGTTCCACCAAGCTGAACTTTTCCTCTTTCAGCACATTCAGCTCTCTGAAAGTGAATGGAAATATGAACTGGATGTCCTGGTTGGCTTTGTCTTCAGCCCAGTCCAGAGTGAACTTCTGTGTTAAGACTGTTTTCCCAATGCCAGCCACTCCATTTGTCAGCACTGTTCTGATTGGTTCATCTCTTCCAGGTGAATCTTTAAACATGTCTTCTTGTCTGACTGTTGTTTCTGGTTTATCTGATTTCCTGGATGCGGTTTCAATCTGTCTGACCTCATGTTCATCACTGATCTCTGCAGTCCCTCCCTCTGTGATGTAGAGCTCTGTGTAGATCTTATTCAGAAGGGTTGGGTTTCCTGCTTTAGCGATCCCCTCAAACACACACTGGAACTTCTTCTTCAGCTTGGATTTAAGATGATGCTGACAACTTTGAAGAGTCTCTGAACAAATCATTTAAAATAGCAAGAAAAAAAAACCAGTCTGTTTATTTCTTTGTCTTCTTTTTTTGTTTTGCATTTTTACATATATTTTCTTCAAACGTACTTAGATCTCAAATTACAATACTGAAGAAATCTCATTAATTATAAGTGCACCATCCTGCTATTAAAGTGAAGAGAAAATTGTTTCAGTTGCATTAGTACTAAACCAAAAAGCTTGGATGCCGGACATTGTTTACATTCTAATGTTTATTCATATTTCTTGTAGTTTTTTTTCGCTTCAGGGTATCTGCCTGGAGAAGAGACAGCAGGTAGTATTTTGCCTGTTAACAGCATGATGAGGAAATGGGAGAGAACCAAACAGCTGCTGACGTTGTTTATATTCAACAGTGAATGATTTAGTCTATCTTCTTGGACATAAGCAGATGGATATTAGCCATCACATAACGATCATATATTTACCAGCTTTCCCATTAACAAGTTTTAGGTCATTTTATTATATTATCAAATCTGTGTCTTTTAGTGATTGTACACAGGGCAAGAGCATGGTGACGACTGATCACTTATACCAACATTTACCATCTTTGTGTTTGGTTTTAAACAGGCTTCTGTGATGAAGGACGGGCAAAGATATCACTTTGCAAATGTGAAGAGGTGCCTTGTTTCTTCAAATCTTTTCCTCTTTCTTTTTGATCAAGTGTGCACTTCCACTGACATTTTAATGAATGGTCTCAAAGAGTTACTTAAATTACTTTTCCTCTTGTTTGGATTGTTGTGTTATTTGTGCTTCTTCAATCTTGATGTCATAAAAAATACATCTGGCTTCATTCACTGAGTGATGCTCAGCTTGAGATACAACAAATCATCACCAAACCAAAGAAGCTCCTGTTCTGTTATAATTTAAATAAATGGAACTTCTGCGCAGTCACACTAAAGGTTTTTAAACCTACATATGTAAAATAAAAAATTGGCTTTGTGGCTTGTGTAACCAATGGGAACATTTACAAACTAAACAGGTTTTCAACTCTGGACTTCTCCAAATTATGTCACAAAAAATCCCACTAAACTTTCATGCTGTCTTTCAACTGCTACCACACTGTTTAAAATAAACATCTGAAGGGAATTCAATATTTCACATTAAATTCCTGCCATAAACTCAAAAAGAGATTATGCACACTGTGACTAATAGAAGACTGGAATATTTTTCCTTCATGGGTTTCTGAAGCACTCAAGAACTCACACAAGTGACACTACTTTTTTTTTTTTAAAGCAATTCGTTTTTCACGGTTTTAACAACTAAATAAGATTACTGTTCACATAAATAGAGCTAAGAAAAATCTATGTTAAAAAAATAATTCTGAGCAGTCTATTTTAAGTTAAACGCTTATGTGAAATAATTTCTCTCAAGTTAATACTTTAGTTTACTACTCTGTAAGTACAACACACTTAAAACCCTTGGTTAGTACAACATACTTCTTATTCCACCTCATTACTTTTCAGGGAGTTGTTTTCAGCATGTCTCTAAGAGATTTTTTTATTCTCCAGTAGTCTGTAGTTTGTACATGTGATGATTGTCGTTAGAGTGGTCTTGCAGGCATGGATTTAAGAGGTAATTGCAGGGTTTATTCTGCTACCAATACATCTTTTAATGATCTTCACTCCGTCATGGCCGTTTGGGAAAGGTTTTTTTTTTCCATTGTGAGCAGCCCTTTAATAAATCCAAATGTATGTTGTGGAATGAAGTTCCCGCTTTCTGCTTTTCGTTATATTAAATTCTGAGGTTTTACACTTCACATCTCAACAAACTACAGAGAAAAGTGGACTCACCTTGTTGAGCAGATGGATCAGAGTATAAACGCAGCTGAGAGAAAAGGGAGAGATCTATAGTCTGAAGATGTCTGACCATGATCCTGCTGGCTTTGTCCCCTTTCTTCCTCACTGTATCAATGAAGCAACGTGCCTTATCTGCTCTGACTGGGTTCCCTTCCAGTATTGATTCTTTCTCCAATTCATTTAAGACACCGTCACTTACAAGGGCCTCAAGGAGCTGTTTAAGGATTTCTGTTGACACCCTCCAAACAAAAGCTGACCGCACCCTGGCAAGCTCCTCTTCTACAAGAAGAAGGAAGAGACATAAACATGTATCCCCCTCAAACATTGATGACAAGGAGATCATTTTGAGTGAAGTTGCTTTCTTTTCCAAGCCCCTTAGACTGACAGTTGTCATGTTATGAAAATGTGCCAAAGAAAGATTAAGACATGTTGCAACAGATTTGAATTTGTGACCATTTTTAAAGACAGTATATAGATAACTATGTGCAAGTGCTCTGACAAATTTTTTCCAATAAGTGTTACAAAAAGGCAAAGGATTGTACCTTGTCTCTTTACATCCATACAGCTCATCAGACAAACCATTGATCTCCTACCTGCTGTGGAAGCTGCTTTAGTTGGTGATTCTTCTACAGGTTCTTTCATCATCTCTCTATGAAAACATGAGAAGACGATTTTAACAGAAGAAACTGTGAACACAGTCATGTGTCACGTTATTTTATTGATATTAGGTTTTAGTGTCTCAGCCACATACATCCAAAACTGACCTGTTTGAAATAAAACATCAATGACATGTGAATGTGGTGGTAATGATAATAAGGTAATAATGGTTGACTTTTTATATACTTTTTCAGGTATTAGTTCAGTGTAATAATAAAAAATCTGACCTTATAAACCACAAATGCATCCTTATCCTCATCCTTAACTTATACTGTCAGTCTTCAGTTTTATACCCAAAGTGGGTATGGGAGTGTGATCCCCCTACAGTAATATATATATATGAAAAATTAAGAATATTTAGCCAAAAGTTTATTAACTTTGCTGCAATTCTGAAAAGGCATCAGCGCGGTGACCAGTGTTGGTCAAGTTACTTGAAAAAAGTAATCAGCAGAGATGGGCAGTAACGCGTTACTTGTAATGCATAATCCATCATGCAAAATGTAATCAAATGGAAAAGTCCCTTTTTAAAACTTGTTTTATTAGTTTTAACCTTTTAACTTTATGCATCAAGCAAAAATTTAATTCTATGCAACATTCTCTGACTGGAAGAAATTTGTTTAACATTTAAACTTATTTTCTGTACATTCCAGCACATAAAATATATATTTTTTTGTGTGTTTACACTCACTCTTTCAAATAGATGCAAGTAAAACACAGCATAAAATAAATAACATCAAAGACTAGTGGTCCTGTTGCTCTATTTTCACCTGTAAAGCAGGAGCGGCATAGGCGTAGGTTTACCCTGGTGCAGCTGTGCCGCAGCGGTCAGTTGAAGAATCCGCGAGTTTCTCTGTGAGTTTCCCTTTACGTGGTAGCGCACTCCCAGTGCTTGCTTGGAAGTTTAGGGGTTTTTTTTCGCGGTTAAAAGAGGTTTTCTTCCCACGCACAACGGACACTAATGTTTTTGTTACTTTTTATGTAATCAAACTCAAAGTAAGGTCAGTACTTCCAAGCTTTAAACGCTGCACACTCATACTCTCTCCCGCACTCGATATATGATCCATTGTTGATCTGCACACAGCTGTTGTCACGAATGTCGCACTCGCTTACGTCACTGTCATGAGACATTCTTGCTAAAAAATTACCGTTTTAGTAATGCAGTAACGCAGCGTTCCTACGGGAAAGTAACGGTAATCTAATTACCGTTTTTGCAATAGTAATCCCTTACTTTACTCGAGTACAGAAGTCTGGTGAGGAACTTTGTTGCATGGAGTCACACAAACCACCTGCAACTCAACACCTCAAAGACTAAGGAACTGGTTGTGGACTTCGGGAGGTCCAGAGAAGGTCCACTGCCGGTTCAGATAGAGGGGGAGGAGGTGGAGGTGGTCAACAAGTACAAGTACCTCGGGCTGTGGGTGGACAATAAACTGGACTGGTCATGCAACACAGAGCACCTGTATAAAAAAGCCCAAAGCCGACTGTACTTCCTCAGGAGGCTGAGGTCTTTTAACATCTGCAGGAAGCTCCTGAGGATGTTTTACCAGTCGGTGGTTGCTGGAGTACTTTTCTATGCTGTGGTGTGCTGGGGGAGCAGCACAGCAAAGAAGGACTCATCCAGGCTGGAGAAACTGATCAGGAAGGCTAGCTCTGTGGTCGGCATGAAGCTGGACACTCTGGTGACAGTGGCAGAGAAAAGGACATTAAAGAAACTGCTGGACATTATGAACAATGCTGGGCTTCCTCTGCACACGGCCATAAACAACCAGAAGAGTCTGTTCAGTGACAGGTTACTTCTCCCCAAGACAAGAACTAACAGACTTAAAAACTCCTTTGTCCCACACGCCATCAAACTGTTTAACTCCTCTCTGGAGGGGAGAGGGAGGGGAGACAGGAGGACAAAGGAGGGGGAACAACTAAGCTGTAGTGCCTCTTCACCTCACTGTACAATACCTTGTGCAATACTTTTTGTAAATAGTCAACAGTGCAATACTCCTCAATACTTGAAATGTGCAATTCACTTGTATTTTTATTTTTATTCCTATTTATTCTATTTATCCCCTTTGTATATTTTATTTATATTTGTTTCTGTATTTATATATGTGTGTGTGTGTGTGTGTGTGTGTGTGTGTGTGTGTATATATATATATATATATATATATATATATATATATATATATATATAATATATATATATATATATATTCTGTAACTCTGTAACTTCTGTCGGTGCTGTGCTTTTTTGGAAATCGAATTTCCCAGAGGAACCCACCCGAGGATTAATAAAGTTCTATCTTATCTCATCTTATCTTACTTGAAAAAAGTAATCAGAAACTGCCCATCTCTGGCGGTGACATGCATTGTCCTTTAGTGCTGGAGCAACAGGAACACCAGTTAATCTGAAATCTCTTTGTCTCTCTAAAACAAAGTGACAGCAGACTGAGTCAAAGAAAGAAATGTTATTTAAACACCAAGGATCAGCAGAGTTAACGTGTTGGAGAATTGGACGTTCCAGTTCATTCAAATGCAGCTGCAATCAGAGAAACAGATGCAGAGACAGAGAAACATCATGTGACTGAAAAAGAGTTCAGCCTTCTGGTTCAAACTCTGTACAGACACAAGAGACAGCAGCACCAAGTGATGATTTCAATGACCTTGTTCCTGTTAAACACAGTTACAGTTTTAACAGGATGTTTTACTGAAGTTGTTTGAAAACACGTTTGGTATTATTGCTGTCACGGCCCGTGGCTCGGCATCCAGGGAGCCATGGGAGGCTGCGGTGGCCACACCCTCGGGCTGTGCCGCCTCCAAACCACATGCGTCTCATCTGAGGCAATCACCAGAGGACTACTTCAGCCAGCTCTGACAGCTTCTCCTCGCCAGTCCGTAAGTCTCCTCCCAGTGTGACCAGCATTCGGCGTGGAAGCCTGTGGCCTGCCTGTCCTCCTGCCTGACTGCCTCCCTCCCTAGGATTCCCTTCACGGGCACCTCTCCGTCCAAGCTCCACGGTCCTGCTCTACCTGTAAGCCTCGGCAACTTACTGTATGAAGTCTAGCTGTTCATTTCTTGGGAACCTGCATGCTGTTAACTGTGTCTCCCCTTTCTGTTGCAGTTTCCCCACGGTCCCGATTACGGCACTCCTGGGCTCCACGCTCCTTGTTTCCCCCCGTGGCATGAGCCTTAGTTTTTTCGTTTCCTTAGCTTTGTTAAAAGATTCCTCAGTTAAATAAAACTTGTACATAGTTCTGAGCTGCGGTTACCTGAACACTCCGTGTTCTGTGACAATTACTATTACCTGGTTAGTACTTTTTTTCTGTGTTGTGTGTTGTAGTACAATCTGAACTTTTATTTGGGTCCAAAAATGTTGGACAGAAAGCAGAATGTCATCTAAACCAGATGTGCAAACCCACAGAGCCAAGAGCAAAGATGTCTCTGCACATCTGCCTGTGTTAGAAGAGGAACTTTTTTCTCGTTTCATTAAGTTCATCAACTTCATGTTGTTACAGTCATGTGACTGTTAGTGGCTCAGAGAGCTGTGAAAAAAATAGGAAGTGGGGTGTCTAAGCGGTTGCTATGTTCTGATGTCATACAGACTAGGATAAGGTGGAGTATAAACCAGAGAAACCTCAGGCTGTTCTCTTCTTCCTGCTCAGGTCAAAGGTCATCTATGTCAGCGGTCCCCAACCCCCGGCCTCGGACCGGTACCGGTCTGTGAGTCGTTTGGTACTGGGCCGCGAGAGTTTAGGCTCAGGTGTGAAATGTATAGTTTTCAGGTTTTTATTGGTTTTCAGCATTTTTTTGTTATTGTTTTTATCGTTTACTCGGTTTTCCTTGGTCTTTTCACGTGTGTTATGAATAAATTTTCTTTTTTCGGTACCAGTACTAGTTTTATTTTGTTGTATTTATCCGCGACCTTAAAGGCCGTCCATGAAAATATTGTCTGGCATAAACCGGTCCGTGGCGCAAAAAAGGTCTGGGACCGCTGATCTATGTGATAGATTGATGTTTTAATTTCTAATCTTTCAAATATTTGTTTTGCTGGAACTTTTGCTTGAGTGGATGAAAACTGAAGTGGGTCCTTCTGACCTCCTGAAAAGACGTCTTTTCTTCTCTTGTGTTCTGGTACTTTCTCAGCTCCAGGGGAACTTCTAGGGGAGAGGTGAAGGTGTCCCTGTGTCTCTAACATCCCTCTCAGTGTTGGGATGGTGAATGAAGGAGTTTTGGTGCAGTTCCAGCAGAGACACTAAAATGCAGCAGTGATTGTGTCTAATCAGACAAGCATGAAGTAAATGCACTGAAGCTGCTGTCAGTCTGAGTATAATCAAATGTCTGATTGAATGTACGTCAAGCACCATAGATAACGTATTGGAATGTGTTACTATTGAAATCCATGTTGAAAAAGCTAACAATATAATTATAAGTTGCATCTATAGGTCACCAGAGTCATGCCTTGACACATTCAATGAAAAACTTCTGCTATGTTTAGCCACCTAAATGATAAAAAAAAGCACCAATAATTTGTGGTGATTTTAATATAAATTGCTGAAACTCAAATAGACATCAGAAAACAACAGATTTCATCAATACAATGTATAGAAACTGCCTTTTCACTGTAGTTATATATATATATATATATTTATATATATATATATATATATATATATTTATTTATTTATTTTAATATATATTTTACTCAGAATTTGTCCTCCATGTTTATTGGTCCTGTAACTCTTAGAGAAATAATGAACATTGTGAAAACATTTAAAAATAAAAAGTCCACTGACTGTTTTGGTATTGACATGATATTAGTTAAAAGTATTATAGAATATATACTGCGACCTTTCACATACATTTGTAATCTGTCCTTTTGAACTGGTACTGTATGTTTCCCTCAAAATGAAAATAGCAAAAATTATTCCAATCCATAAAAATGGAGAGAGATGTCAATTTACTAATTACAGGCCAATATCACTACTCCCACAGTTCTCAAAAATTTTAGAAAAGTTATTTGTTAATAGACTTGATAAATATATTGAGAAGCATAATCTCCTAAGTGATAACCAATATGGCTTTAGAGCAAAAGGTCCACTGGATGGCAGTGATGGAAGTTGCAGAAGGGATATCTACTGAAATAGATAATAAGGAATATACTGTTGGTGTTTTTATAGACTTAAAAAAGCTGTTTGGTACAATTGATCATTCTATATTAATGAATAAACTAGAGAGATATGGCATAAGAGGCATAGCATACAAGTGGATGAAAAGTTACCTGGATGATAGATATCAATATGTTGAAATCAATAATGTAAAATCTAATCAGTTGAAGGTAATTTGTGGCTTCCTCAGGGCTCTGTCTGGGCCCTGAAGTATCCATATCATATATAAATGACATATGTAGTGTTTCCAAATGTTAAAATGTGTATTGGTTGCTGATGATACCACTCTGTATTGCTCAGTAAAAACCTAGAACAGCTTCTGACTACAGTGAAAAGGAGTTAAATATATTAAAAAAACTGGTTTGATATAAATAAGTTATCGTTAAATATAAACAAAACAAAATTTATTATTTTTGGCACTAGACAAATGAAAAATGAATCTAAAATCAGGTTAATGGAATTGAAAATTGAAAGCGTGTGCGGAAAAATAAATTTCTTGGAGTGATAATTGATGATAAGCTTAGCTGGAAGTCTCATATAAACCATGTGAAAACAAAAGTTGCTATTCTCTACAAAACAAAGCATGTCCTGAACAAGAAATCATTATACACACTTTATTGCTCTCTATTTTATGATTTAGTTGAATATAAAATGGCACAGATACTGTATAAAGCACAAAATAACTTGCTTTGCCGCAGTACTCAGAAGCTGTTTAAAGTCAGAGAGAGTCAATATGACTTAATGGGAACAGAATTCTTTAAAAAAAAACCCCAAAAAACAAGATAAGGACAAACATAAAGCACAGATGTGTTTCTGTTAGAGGAGTTAAGGTGTAGTTCATTTTCCTTGTTTGAAAGCATGTTTAAAATAGAGTGTTAGAAAATAATATATAAATAAAGAATGAAAAGAGCAAAAATAATAATACTGAAACTCTTGGTTGTTTTGCTTCAATTATTTTAATGAAATTTAATTTAATGTAGTTACTATCTAAGGTGCAAAGTTTTTTTGTTTTCTTTTGTTTTTTGTTTGTTTGTTTGCTTTGTTTTGTTTTATTCTTTGCTTTGAGCCCTACATGAGCTGCATGTTAAAAGATCTTTTGTTAAAAGTGTTGGTGTAAATCATATGCTTCAGCCAATACCTTTTGATTAGCCTTGTCTTATGCTTTCTTGCTTTGTGTAATCTTTATTTGTATTCACTGAGATATTTGAATGTTAATCAATAAAATCAATCAATAAAAATAATGACGTGTTACTGTTACAGTTACAGTTTAACAGGATGTTTTTGTATTTGATTTATTGCTCTGTAAGGCTGAATCCTCTGAAATTAGCAGCAAACAACGACTGATTGTCAAGCTGTCCAACTGATATTAAAGTAGCATATCAGAAAAGGTTCCACCTATAACAGCTACAGCAGCTGCCGTTTACATGTTATAGAAGAAAAACTGAACTGAACATACTTGTCCTTGATCCTTGATATTAGAATAATCCATCAGTCTATTTTAGTGCTTCTCCTCTGTTACACTGCGTTACATTGTTTCTACAATTATATTTCCTGTGTGTTGAATTAAAATCAAATTAAAAGCACAAATCACAGTGTCAATTCTTAAATAGATTTTAATTGCAGAACATCAGGAGCAGGAAGTGTGTTTTTTTTGCTGTGAAGACAAACCAAGTGTAAATGTGTGTGTTGGTGAGCTCACAGGCAGTGTGTCCCTCTTTTCTCTCAGTGGCCTCAGAAATGCTTACTCTGCTGTACATCACTTATTTTCAAATAATAACGTTGTTAAATGACTTTCATAGTAAATATGGATTCACATAGAGATAAAATGACATCATGAGAGAGTTTTTACCATAATGTCCATCAAAAAGACGATAAGGAGAAAGTGTGAGGAGACTCTGGGTTGAAGTGAGTGCATCAGTGAAAAAGGTGAAATACTCAAAAAAGCAGAAGAACTTAACGCTTTATTGACCAATGGCCAGCCGACGGCCCATTTCACAAGCAGTCTTTAAACGACTGTAACTCTTCATTTATGCTAGAGAAAGCTAGGTTTCGAAAAGAAGAGAAGCTGCGCTTTACGGGGATATTTTGCGTATTACGGTAGCACAAAGCATTCACAAGCTACAGCTGTCTGAACACAGAAATGTTCTGTTCTTTTGTATACTTCATCTGTTTGTATGTTGTACACTCATTGTGTGTTCAATAAAGTTCATTAAAAAAATCTAAACACAGAAGGAAAACTCAACTCCGCCTAGATTTTACCATGTGTGCTTCGCACTACCGTAACTCATTGACCATTTGAGCTAGGGGAAAAAATTCACATGGTTACTGAAAGAAGAGAGACTGAGTTTTACGGGGATATTTAGTGTATTACGGTAGCACAAAGCGTTCACAAGCTACAGCTGACTGGAAAAAGAAAAGTGAACACCGCTTAGTGGTGCGCTTAATGTGCGCTTCGCACTAATGTAACTCTTCGACTATTTGGGCTAGAGGGACATTTCAAACGGTTACTGAAAGACGACAAGATGGGCTTTACGAAACATTATGGTGCATCATTAGAAAGCAAGAACAATGACGGTCAATAAAGGAGAGCAGAGAAGAAATGTGCTGAAGGAACTTTCAGTGCTTTAAGTTACAGAAGCACAAGCTGCCTCTAATGTCTGAGAGAAAAGATGAATTCAAACCTGCTGCTGGTTTGGTTCCACTCTGCCTCGTTGGTCCAGCTGTGAGTCCGGCAGATCTGTGCTGTTTGTGCTAAAGAAGGTCGTCTGACACGGAGATCAGCAAAGAGAAGCGAAACAGGAAGAGCAGGAAGGGAGGTGCTTGTGGGGAACCAGGGATTAAGCAATATCAGAAATTCTCAAGTTTGCAATTTAGAAACATGTAAAAATGTTTGTTGGAGGCTTTCTGTCCTGTTACTGAGCGAAGCATTAAAATTATGTTTCTATTGTAGTTTCTGTTGTAGTGACACTTTAAACTGGTTTGACTACAGATCAAAGAAACACTCAGTGTGTTAGTGAAAGTTGTTTTTAGCTGACCTTGAGGTTAAGGTTACTTTGTTTATACCCATAGGTAAATTTGCTTTGCAGAAAAATGATAGCATTTGGCATCCCTTCACGAACACACATTCCTAGTTAAAACCTCACAAAAAACACATATATAGTACTTGAACAATATGAATCAAATAAAAAACATATCTTATTTAGTTCAGTGACAGCAACAGGGGCAAAGCTGTTTTTATAATACTTTGTTCTACATCTTGGAAATAGAAACCTCCCTCCTGGGGAAAGAAGCTGAAATTCACCCCGTACAGGATGAAACCATTTTTAAGAATTGATTAAGCCATCTGTTGTATCTGTGTAGAGTACAGGGAGGCTAAACAGGACTGTGACTCACCTATCAGGCGACTGGACCATCTCATATCTGATTCAGTGAGTTTTTCTCTGTGACAGAGGTCTGACCAAATCATGCTACCAAACAAAGATAAAACAGACTCAATAAAAGAACGATAAAACAAAGTTACAATTTTTAAGTCAATGTGGAAATGAGCAAGTTTCCTGAGGCAGTAAAGGCGCTGGTGACCCTTTTTACAAGCCGATTTGCAATTCTCATCAAAGTTCAGTTTTTCATTGATTACAGTCCCAAGATATTTATATGATTGCACTTGCTCTATTTTCTGTCGAAAAGAGCCCATGACAGCAAAAAAAAAGTAGCTTTAGTAAAGGTTACAAATGTTCTTCGTATGGCCTCTGACAGTTGACTCATCTCTGTGCCTCTCCTGCTAGATCTCAGTGCAGCATTTGATACTGTCGACCCTAATATTCTATTAGAGCGATTAGAGCATTACATATTACAGGTACTGAGCTGCAGTGGTTTGTATCACATCTATCGCTCAGAATCCAATTTGTTTATGTAAATGGAGAGTTATGTAAATGGAGGTTAATTATGGAGTTCCACAGGGTTCAGCACTAGGGCCAATTCTGTTTACATTATGCATACTTCCCTTAGGCAGTATCATCAAAAGACACAACATACAATTTCGCTGCTATGCAGATGACACCCAGCTTTATCTATCCATGAAGCAAGATAACACACACCAATTAGTTAAACTGCAGGAATGTCTTAAGACATAAAGACCTGGATGGCCGCTAACTTTCTGCTTCTTAATTCAGATAAAATTGGGGTTATTGTACTCAGCCCTGGAAATCTTAGAAATATGGTATCTAACCTTTTTTTACTTTTTTTTTTTTTTTTATTATATATACTTTTTTTACTCTTGATGTCATGACCTTGGCCTTCAGTAACACTGTGAGGAACCTTGGAGTCATTTTTAACCAGGATAGCTCCTTCGATGCACATATTAAACAATATTTAGGACTGCTTTGTTGCATTTGAACTGTCCTGTCTCAGAGTGATGCTGAAAAACTAGTTCATACATTTATTACTTCTAGGCTGGACTACTGTAATTCATTATTATCAGGATGTCCTAAAAACTCTCCCTAAAAAACTCCCTGAAAAGTCTTCAGCTAATCCAAAATGCTGCAGCAAGAGTACTGACAGGGACTAGAAAGAGGAGCATATTTCTCCTTCATTGGCTTCCCTTCATTGGCTTCCTGTTAAATCCAGAATTGAATTCAAAATCCTGCTCCTCACATACAAGGTCTTAATAATCAGGCCCATCTTATCTTAATGACCTTGTAGTACCATATCACCCTATTAGAGCACTTCGCTCTCGCACTGCAGGCCTACTTGTTGTTCCCATTATTTAAAAGTAGAATGGGAGGGACGGCCTGCAGTTTTCAGGCCCCTCTTCTGTGGAACCAGCTTCCAGTTTGGATTCGGGACACAGACACTATTTCTACTTTTAAAATTAGGCTTAATTAAAACTTTCCTTTTTGCTAAAGCATATAGTTAGGGCTGGATTAGGTGACCCGAATCCTCCCTTAGTTATGCTGCAATAGACCTAGGCTTCCGGGGATTCCCATGATGCATTGAGTTTTTCTTCTTCTGTCACCTTTCTCATCACTATATGTTAATAGACCTCTCTGCACTGAACACACTTGTTATTAATGTCTGGCTCTTTTCCACTGCATGTCTTTTATCCTGTCTTCCTTCTCTCACCCCAACTGGTCGCAGCAGATGATCGCCCCTCCCTGAGCCTGGTTCTGCTGGAGGTTTCTTCATGTTAAAACTCAGTTTTTCCTTCCACGTTCGCCAAAGTGCTTGCTCATAGGGGTCATATGATTGTTGGGTTTTTCTCTGCATGTATTATTGTAGGTGCGACTGCTGTTTTGATTTGTCGCTATATAAATAAAATTGAATTTAAGAGAATAAATATTTGCAAACAATTAGAAAAGGTAGATTTTAAAACACTTTGTGTCATGTGTGTTAATTAAATTGAAACCATGCAATTCATCTCAGCAGGAGAGGGCAAAAAATCACCACTGATGAAGTGTTCAAGGAGATGTTAGTGACAGTCCATGTTTCTTTGATTGGATTAGTTTTTAAAAGCACTTGATTTTATAAAATGACAGAAACAGGAGAGACGCTGAATGTCTTGAATATTTATACACTGAGTACTATTGGATGTCCGCTTATATAAGAATTATGGAAAAATCACATTAAGAAAGAGAAATCAAACATTTGTATTAATTTTAATGAGCTCAGACCTATTAAAAATGCGGAGGAGCTGGTTGTGAACTGAGATTCAGAAAACACAACATACTGATATTGACTGTGAAGCTTTGAGTGGGAAAAAACGTGGATCCTGGGATAATCATAGTTCCATCTTTAAAGGACTGAAGAGGAAGAAGTTTACAAGAAATCATTTAGAAACGTCATCAACTCATTGAATCCATGAATCATGGCTCAAGAGTTGGGAGTTTGCCTTGTAATCGGAAGGTTGCCGGTTCGAGCCCCGGCTTGGACAGTCTCGGCCGTTGTGTCCTTGGACAAGACACTTCACCATTGCCTACTGGTGGTGGTCAGAGGGCCTGGTGGTGCCAGTGTCCGGCAGCCTCGCCTCTGTCAGTGCGTCCAGGGTGGCTGTGGCTACAGTGTAGCTTGCCATCACAGTGGTGTGAATGGGTGGATGACTGGATGTGTAAAGCGCTTTGGGCTCCTTAGGGACTAGTAAAGCGCTATACAAATACAGGCCATTTACCATTTTTTCTGGTTGAAAGAAACAGACATGTACAGACTGAATAATCAGTTCAACAGTCAGAGTGTTTCTCTAACAAGAGGACACTCTTTACTCTCAACTCAGCACAGACACACTGAGGCACAAGGAAAGAAATAAAATGCAGGATAAAGAGTTTCAGTGAATGTGGTGTTGAAGGTGTGGAGGTGGATCAGAGTGTCAGACGAGACTCTGTAGAAGGACAGAGTGCCAGCAGGACAGTCCACATACACTGCTACTTGTACTGTTAGAGACAGAGGAGGAGATGGATGTTCGACTGTTAGCGTGACAGACAGAATCAGGACCATTATCAGTGCAGTTCAGACTCAAGACTGATCATTGTATCCAAACACCATAACTGTCTCCTTTCCTCTGATTCTTCTGTAACTCACTGACATGTCAACTCTTACCCACTTGACCTCCCAGTAACAGCGACCAGTCAGTTCATTACTACACAGCAGCTGAGGCCAAACATCAAATCTGTCTGGATGATCAGGATATGACTGAACCTTCTCCACATGTTTCACTGTCGTGTAGTTGTCAGACAGTTGGAGATTTGTGTGTACTGTGTTTGTATCGATTGTGAGTTGACAGGAATCTGATGGAGAGAAACAACAATCCAGCTGCAGTTATTGATCCATCATCTGTTATTGATTGACACTTTGATCATGAGTCCTGACATCAGAGATGTGAATGAGTGATGTGACATTTTGAAGAGGTTGAATGTGGCTGCTTTGTTTTCATATTTCACATTAAAAACACACTTACACTTCTTCAGCCCTGGTGTCAACCATTGGACTCCAGCAGGCTCCACCTGAAAGGAGGAGGGGGTCAGACCAGTACAATCTCTTTCAGCATGCACACATGGGCTGTATCCCAATTCAGGGTCTGCAGCCTTAAAGGCTGCATTTTAAGGCCGATTACGTCACAGCGACGCGACGAAGGCTGTCCCAATTCGAAGGCTGCTCGAAATGCGGTTCTCAAATGCGTCCTTCATTTCCCTGAATTTAAGGATGTGGCGGTATGACTTCCTGCCCAATATATCCAGAATGCATAGCGCGTGGTGGGTGTGGATAATTTGGCGAAAAAAAACGGTGGATGAGGGGCGCCCGAAGAGTAACTTTAAGTAAGTACTGAATATTATTCACTTATTTATGTGGAAATGTTTAATAACGAAGAACATTAAACATTACTGTTGGCCATGTCAGCAAAGTTATGTGACATTAGTGACGTTTGTGCTACTTGGTTTTAAAGCCTTTACTTTAAAATATACGCCGTTCAATAGCTAACCTTAATATTACAGAGAATGATCAAAGCTCATGTAGAAACAAACAAACAAATGAACAAAGATTTTCTCTTTCATTTCTGTCAAACAATGCTGTATGAAACGTTTCCAGCTGTTAGTATCATGGTTGCTAGGCAACCTGGGCAGTGCGACGGAGGCTAGACCGTCCCATTTCGCAAGCCTCGCACTTCCGGCCTTAGCGGTCATTGAGTATGCGGCCCTTGTGGACCGTAAGGCTGCGTACTTTAAGGCTGCAGACCCTGAATTGTGATACAGCCATGGAACATTACATTGCTCCCTGTTAGTAGACCTCTCTGCATTAAATCATCACAATTAATCACTCGCTCTCTTCCACAGCATGGAGTGTTCCTTCCCTTAATTTCCAAAATGCCTATCATTGGGGAGGTGGGG